CCAGCACCAAGAGCTCTTCCATTCCTTGATGGAGCTCGGCAGATCGATCACAAATGGAGTGTGGGAACCCCATGACGTCAGGTAGTACCAACCCCGGGTCTTATCCCCCCCGGCAGTAACCTTGGGTATGTAGAGAGTCTGGAAAACGGAAAGGGGCATCTCCACTCCTAACGACGCCTCTTTCCACAACATCCAGGAGCCCACCATTTGGCTCCAGGAGTTCGGATTGAGCTGCGTCGGGGCTAGCCCGTAAGACCTAAGCACCAACCTAAAGAACGGGTGAATAGGCAGCCTAAGTCCGGCCCTAAGGATCGCCTCACTAATGGCCACGCAGCCCGGCCTTGGGTAACAAGCTCTCTCTTCCGGCCCTGGGAGAATCAGATCCACACTGTCCGGGATCCTATATTCTGTCCTAAGTCTACCAAGGTCGGCCTCCCTCAAGTTTGATGGGTAGTCCGACGCCCCCCAGTGCACAGAAGTATCCGGAGGGCTATCTGGTCGCTTCCACATGTTTTCCCCCCCCCATTATGGCCCCGGCTATTTCTGAGGAGGTCGCCACAATGGGCTCGTCCACCCTCACTATTTCTAAACTCCTACCCAAACCAGAACTCCCTTCCGAGGCCATTCGTTAAGAAATTTTTAGTCTAAATGGGTACTGAAACTTACGGGTTTGGAAGTGTTTCCTAGCCGGAAATGGTGCAAGATCTCCGGAAATATCGCTCTCTCTGTCGTCGGAATTGCTTGTAGAACGCCGAAAATCGCCGGAAATTTGGGAGAAAATTTTGTTTTTTTCGTATGGCAAAGGTAGAAACTCTGATAAGCCCCCAAAGTTCACCTTTTATAGGAAAGACAAATCCAATCTCCACCGTTGAATTCAAATACGATCAATCTAAACCGTTCGTTGTATTCTCGATCCCAGCCGTTGAAATGAAACGCCAGATTTGATCTACGCCCAAGATGTCGCTGTGGCTTTCACGCTAAATTGAAACGCGTCGCCTCGGTTACCAACAGCCGTCAATAATAATTACTGGCCGCAGCAGCCTTCTAGGGGAATGGGCGTGGTACCCAACTGTCACCTTGGAAACACGCAATAGTTGTCAAATCATTGGACTTCAGGGTCGCCTCGGATGATCTCCTCCCCCAACTTTACAAAGCTTAGCCGCAACCGATGCGAACGCCCCAGTGGCTAATCGCCTCGGGCGCTGCGTTCCCTCCTATGCTTTATGAAGTTCGAGCCATCTCCCCACACGTCGACCCCTTTTTTCGCCAACGCTTCAGCGAGAAACGAGTCCCCCAACTTTACAAAGCTTGGACGCACCCGATGCGAACGCCCCGTTTGCTATCGCCTCGGTCGCTGCGTCCCCTCCCATGCTTTGCAAAGCTTGAGCCGTCTCCCTCTTCCTGCCAACGCTTCGGTGAAGACGAGTCCCTAAAATTTTTATGACGCTTTAACGTACCCGACGCGAGCGTACCATTGGCTCATCGCCTCGGCTCTGCGTTCTTCCCATGCTCTACAAAGTTTCAGCTACCCCCATGCCGCGATCCGGTCAGGGAAACAAATCCACGTATAATATAAATATTCATTCTCGGATTTGGGGGACCACTGTTACGCCTCATTTTACGAGCCTCGGTACCGAAGTACCGAAGTGTCATCTCGCCACTCCGAAGCCGGTGAAATCAAATAGACCACTCCGACCTCCCGAAGCTTCTCCAAAGTGATACACCGATTCCTGTCACTGATCTGCCGAAGTGTCCCGTCTCCGAGGTCGGGTTCAAGTGGACCCCCGTTAGAAGATTCGCTGCCAATTTAAGATTTGCTCTGCATATAAGGTTTAAATTGATTTGACGTCCCCCATAAAGCTATTTGATGTGACTTATCAACTTTATGTCAATTCAACTCGGGGGAAACAAACTGTCCGCCCACTCTACAAGCGCGGCTGATTGACGCCTATGAGCAGACGCTTCATACCGTCAGATGTATACACGTGTTCCACATCCCACGGTTCATACCACCTATAAATACCCAAAGATTGGCCAGAGGCAAAGGTAATGAAACTCTCAATAGATAGCACTCCATAACAAGTTTATACATTCTCCTCCCCCTTTATTGACTGATTGATTTGTATAGTCCCTGGACACTGTTCCGACCACCCAAACCTGACTTGACCGTCGGAGTGTATACGGCCGCCACCCCCGTCGGTTCGGCCGTGTGCGCCTGACAGTTTGTTCATTTCGTAGGGAGGAATACGTGGAGTAGCTACAAGTTGGCCACGTGGAAGAGCCATTTTTAGAGGTCAACATAATCAAGACAAGACAGGATAATGCGACACTTCGATCTAGCAGATGGAGCCACGTGAATCTGATCCAATGGTAACCACGTCGCCCTAGTTACTATGAATAACAGTCTTGACAACATTGTAGATGATGGGTTTTCATACAAACAAACAGAGTATCACAACTTCCTCTCTATAAATATTTACTCTCATTATCTTCTCTTCCCTCAACAACACTATCGATCATAAACATCTCACTTATGTACGCATGCAGATATGATTGATAGCCTTATATCCAATTGAGTATCCATTCTAGATCTATTAGAATTTGTCTACGTGGATATCATTTGAAATCGACACATTTTGGCACATTTTTAGGTCAACAGTGAACTTTAAAAAAAAAAAAAAAAAAGGTTGGCTTGTGATCAAATAGTGAACTTTAGAAAAAAGGATAAAAATACTAAAAGAAGGATTTGTTTGAGCTTTATTTTTTTGTAAAAGTAAGTTTTGTAATACTGATGTTTTGAAGAATTTGTAATTAATAAGTAAGAAAAAATTTGAATTTATGTATAGAATTATTTTATTGAAAAAATGTATTATAGAAAATGAATTTTTGAAAAATAAAATTCAAATCTGATTAAGCCCTTGTTTGATTCTAATTTTTTGAAAATGCATTTTTCTCTAAGGGTGCGTTTGATTGCAAATATGAAACTTGTATGGAAAGAAAATAAATTTTAGGTAATTCAATTACTTCGAACTTATTTCCATGAAAATTGTCAATTAAATATGTTTGATTGATTTAATTTTCAACATAGAAAATATTGTATTTATTCAATTTTTATTTGTGGGTAGATGATAACAGATAGATGAGATAGAGAGAGCGAATTTTTTGAAAAATAAAATTTTATACATTTTCTATCAATTTACTATTACAAATTACCTTTTTATTCTTTACACACACACGGGGTTCTCTATGTTCGTAAGAGGGAAATACTCAACATACATGATCTACGTGAGATCCAAAATCCTAGAGAAGAAAAGAAAATTTTGATTATTACACATTAATCCACGTGTTAAATTGGGGTCCACGACTTTAGGCCCTATTTGAACTCAATTAATTTCTTGTAATGAATTATGGAATAGTAAATTGACGGGAATTGTATGATTAAAAAAAATATTTTTTTTAAAATTTATGTGTAATATTATTTTATTGAAAATAAAGGAAAAGAATGGAAAAAAATGGAGTCAAGCAGGTGCTTAATCTGTGCCCTTGAGATTTTCAGTTCTCACATCTCAAAATCCTTCTATAGTACCTACTGCATTTCAAATTCAATCCTAGCATTTTCCTTCTAATATTTCTACCCTTTTTTTTGTGCATTTTCTTCTGTAATGGATTCTTTTTCTATGCAATCATGTATTTTTGCCTGTAATAGTAAATGTATCACATTATCAAGATTTTAAAGATAATGATTGGTTCGAAGATCGAAGATGCAGAGTTACAGTCCGGTCGCTGTTTTTTCTATTTTTATCTCTCTTTTATCATCTGGGTCCTCCTCGATTGAAAATCATCATCAAGCGTAAGTTTTTGTTTGCCAACATATGCATAATGCATTTGCTTCTAATTTCTGGATATGGGTTCGTTATGGTTTCTTTCCTCTTGGTGATGCTCTATGTTTTTCTTCTTTTCTGGTGTGAAAATATATAATCTTGGAATGTTGAAGAGAACAAAAATCGTTCTTATGCTTTAGATTAAGTTTTCCGGTTTATTAGCCGCGTTTATTTCAAATGTTCTGTTTACATAACGGTCTTTACAACCTCGTTGGGGCTACATGGTATTCATAATTGTATTTTGACATTCATAAAGTTGTGATGATAAAGGTTTGAGTAAAGAGACTTTTCTGTATCTCTAAGCAATAAAATTTTATAAAATGTTTACAGTAATTTTTCTGGAGATTGACATGATATCTGTTATTATGGTAAAGTCAGTTTTCTGACCTTGAATGGATTGATATGGAAATAGTGCAAAGTTTTTTTGTATCTTTGTTATCAGTAATATTTAAACCAGGCCATTAAAATCCAAAACAAGTAGTCATGACTTAGAGGCTAGAGCCTTATAGTTCATGGGCTGCACACGTGTTACTAGTGTCCGGAAAGAAAAATGTACATTTGCAGACGATAAACTAAATAAAGAAAGAGAAATATAGATATTTGTTGCGAAGCCCTCTAGCCTACATGCTCCATGAACAGGAGCAAAAATTTCTATTTTTTTGTCAGATGCAAGTCATTGATTGAACGCCAAAACACAGAACGTAATTATTTTGATTATTAACCTAACATGTCTACATATTTATGTAATTTGGCCCTTAGCCTTAGTAATTTGCTTAACTAAAATTACCAAGAAATTTTGACAACTGCATGAGGAGCTATATGTTACATGAAAATGTCGTTCATATATCTGTTCCTTGAGCTAGCCTTTTATTTTGGTAATTTAACACGTGCATATGCCTTATCATTCATTTACCTACATATTCATGAATATTTTTAAGTTTTAGGTGACACACCCCTAAACATGTTACTTATGGAGTTCCTACCCAAAAGTTACGATTTCAAGAATACTTTACAAACATTTGCTAATTCATAGTAGGTCTATAGTTAAAGTACACTTACTAAGCAAGATCCATTTGAACAAATGTCTTCTTTTACATCAACTTGTGACGTGTCTCCCTGTTTTGTGGTCATTTCATCTTGTTTAGTAGAATTGCTTTAGATATATCTTGGTTGAATCTCCCTCCTATCAAGTAAAAAAGATATTACATTAAACCAATGTTCCTCCTATAATTTACTCTATGTTGCCTCCTTCATTTTGTTACATGCAGACCCACTCACAAGGTAGTCTACCTAACTGTTTTATGCTTCTGGCCAAATCTCACTAGGAGATGAGAAGGCAACCTACCTTTTCAGTCATTCTGATGCTGCTCATTATTATTGCTGGTTTCCTATTATAGAACCTGATCCTGGACACACGAAACTCCGCCTTTCAAGAGAAGGTCTGGAAGCAATTGAGAGAAGAACAACTCCTATTGCAGCTGTTGCTGTAAGTTTAGATTAGTCTCCATCTAAGTGTCAACTTGCAATTTCTTATTTAATTAGTTCCTAATGCATGGCAGAATCAGTAATTCATATGTGCTTACAATGAGATATAAGGATGAGTATATTCCATATATTTAATCTGTTTTTTTTACTGAGTCATTTTGGTGGTCTTTATTGGCCTATCCTATCTCTGTCTGCATGTCATGGAGCTTATATTGTTCATAGAAAACCTTGTCTGCCTAAGTTGCTCTATCAATATATTTGCTTTCTACATTTGACACCATTTTTTGGGTGCGCCTTACCAGGTTATTGGTCCATATCGATCTGGAAAATCTTTTCTACTCAATCAACTTCTCTCCCTTTCATGTTACAAAGGTGCTGTCTATTTATTTAGGCATGTAACATGTTACTGCATATGTTATCTTGTGATCTGAGTCCTTCTCATTCTTGAGATTAAAGTGCAAATTTTAAAGGTTTTGGTGTGGGGCATATGCGTGATACTAAAACAAAAGGTATACTAGATTTATCTGGGATATGGATTCTGTCGGTGGGACGTAGATAACAAGCCATTTCTAGATGGAGCTCAAACTATTTAATTGTTCTTCTCAGGAATATGGGTTTGGGGAGCTCCACTGGAATTGGATATAGATGGAGTAAAAACATCTGTCTTCTATCTTGATATAGAGGGTTTTGAAAGTGTTCGAAAATCTAATGTATACAATGACAGGTGATATCCAAAGTACACGATTTCCACATTCGCTTAAAACAAACATGTTTAAAAGGAAAAAAAATGGCTGTCAACGGATATTTATGATTTTTAGTTACTCGTCTTTCAGGATTTTTCCCCTAGCTACTATAATGAGCTCTGTGCTTATATATAACCTTCTTGAGACGGTTTGTTACTTTTCCTATGACACTCATCTCTCTTTATCTCGTGTTGCATGATGATTTGTTGAGTCAGTATAAATATTCTAATCAGATTATGGTTTTGTCAAATTTGGTGAAGCACGTTCTTTTGTAATGATATTATGTGCACACAATTTATTACTCCTGTATTACGTATATGTACATATGATTCTTGAGTAACTAAAAACATATATTAAGTGCCATTAGTCCATTCATTATTTTCTCTAAACAGAGTTATCTTAGTATGCCTGAAAGCTTGTAGTTCAATTTCTTGGTCTATACTAGAACAAAATATGTATTTATGTGATTTAGTTTATGATAATGTGTTGGTTTCATTTTATGCTTAGATTCGTGAAGCAGATATATCTCGATTATCATTTGCAGTTGAGTTTGTTGAAGAATCTTATGGAAGGTATTTAGTAACTTGTTGGCTTAACAGTGTCCCAAATGCTATATGCGTAGGTTAAATTCATTTACTTTAATCCCTAGTTTCCAATTTTTCCACTAATATTAGTTTGTTTTTCTTGCATGTATTATCCCTAAAAGAGTGAAGGTAATCATTGCACCTTCTTAATATTTTATCAGGATATTATCTTAACATACTAAAAGTAAATAAGAATAAAGAAATGAGATTTTCCAGGCATCAGCTTTGCTATCCATTGATGTTTCTGTAGGGGCAAGATGTTGTTTTTGAACCTGCTAAGCTCCTTTGGATAATCCAGCGTGATTTTTTACGTAAGAATGACCTATGGGCATAAATTGGCATGTCATTATGTTATATTTTTTAGGTTTGCACTTGT